AAAAAAACAGGCACATAATGCAATATATCTTGCTAGCTTAATATTCTTGATCTTTGCCAAAACACCACCTTGAGTTTTGAGTTAAACATATATGACTTCTACAAGGAGTTTTACAACAACATTGTGAGAACCCCTCACCACACTGCCTCTGGTAAAAAAAAAACCTTGCAAAGAACTGTATTAAGTACATTTAATTGGCAACAACCAACCCTGTTAGATACAGAAACAGTAGTATTTAGTGTTATGGAGTATTATAGGTCGAGCATGGGGCATCCTGGTAGCTAACCTGGTAGAGGTGCCCTATCTACCAAGGCTGAGTTCTTGCTGCAGCAGCCATGGTGATATACAATACCCTTTGATGTACCCAGTCAAATAGAGTGTCATTTGATGGTCAGATCTGATCAATGGCATTTTTTTATTGGTTTTATCAAAATAGAAATGCAAAGACAACAGATGACCTCGACTTTAATGCACTCATCACCACCTTTTATTTTCATGATTTGTGAGGGACGGACTAGTTATCTTGGGCATGTTACTCAGAGAGCTATAGGACTAGTTCACTTGGAAAAGACCTGTGTAAACACATGGTTCCTTGGATTGATGCCACAAAGTGGAGGATCAACAAACAGCAACAAACTGCAATGACAGTAAATATGTCTACAGGAGAAGGAATTCATTCCCCACCAAAAACTAATGTTCACACTGCTTTGCTAAACAACTAAAAGCCCATGGCATCAGGACTGCTTTAAGCATTTCTATTTTTTAAATCAAAAATTGCCCTTTCCCTATCTTTACCCGTGACAGTGAAGCTGTGTCAGATGAGGTGTTAAATACAGTCAGCAGTGAGATCTTGTGAAAGAAGGGCCATGCTAAAAAAGGGGTATATTTATAGGATTAAGATAATTAGGTGATAGAAATCAGGTGAGGCAGGTGAGGCGACTCCTTCCTTGATTGAAGAACTTAACTATGGTTTGTAAGGCTCAGCTAGATTAGGGTTTATAATAAAATCCACCTCTTGACTTTTAATTAAGCTGAACAGCAATGAGTGCTCTGGCAGGTATGACACTTGTATGACACGAAGGGAGCCATATTATCATAAAATGATAATAAGGCCCCCCAAAATACTCCAATCTACTGCAGAGAAAAGAAAAATAATGTGAAACTGAATGTAAGAAACTAATATTTCTATGTTGCTACTGATTACAGACATTAAATCCACTTTTTTGATGAAAACAGAAAAGAGGCTTTTTAAACACAAACAGATGAATTCCATCTCATCTTCAGAGAGTCTGTGATTAAAAACTGTCCTCTAAAATTGTTATTATGGAATTTTAGATTAGACCAATATCCTCTGGGTGCGTTCATTCTTCCTCATCATTCTCTGTATTATCTCAGTTTAGGAGTTGTAGGCAACTAAGCGCCCGATGTTGTGAATGAAACTGAATTAATCTTATAAATATTCCCAACAGACAAGGGGCCGTTTGGGACCATTTAATCCACAGTATATAGCTTTTCTTTCAGAGGGGCCAGTTAAATTAACCCTATGGCTCACATTTTAAAATCTTAATGGTGTGAGAAAAATTGTGAGGAAGCAAATTGAGACAGGACAGAGTGCTAACAAACAACATTTAAATGCAGGAGCTGCAGTTCTATTTTGATCTGCACCAACTTTTAGTGAGAAAAGAAACAGATGCTGGGCTGTAGATGTACAGGGGACGAAAGTAAAAGCCTCTGCGAGTTTTACACCACCTGCAGGTAATGAGTTGTACAGCTGCACTTTTCTTTTCTTCTTCATAGCTGCTTATCCATGTTTGACATTTTATAATTTACATGTTAAACTTGCAAGATATATCGGTAAGAGTTTTGTGAACATACATAATCTGCTGAATACTGGCAAGAATTATATGGGTTTTAAAGTTTTTAATCTGCATCTAGATTTTCATAAAAATACAGATTTCATCCTTTTTCAGGGGGTATTTTAAAGCATCATCAATCATGCAAAATGTCAGCCTGTCGTCAGGTATTGTAATTTAAATTCATCACCATGTATCGTATTCTCTTAATTTGGTTGCAATTGCACAATTGATTTCTTTCTAAATACACCACACCTACACGAATTTGGAAAGTAATTTAATAAAGTATATAATAAATAAGCTTTTTTCGGGATGATCCAAACACACTTTATAATTTGGTGATTTATTGATTCAAAGGTTCTATAAGTAACTCTCACAAAACTGCTGTTAATAATGACACCAGTGGCCATTAAGTGAACTGCAGTCAGTGTCCTGTTGCTTGCATTCCATACACTCTCTGTAGGTGCAAGTGAGCATCATCCTGGGTATCGGCCAAAAGTGACAAAAGCTAGACTGAACAGTGGAAAATAAATACAATCATATTTAGATTGTTACTCTCTGCGCTGTTCTTACATTTTATTTTGACTATTGTATCCATGCTGCTAACTAGCCCACAACATACGCCAGATCAGGTATTCATCAACATGCAAAGCACTTTTTATAGTGTTATTTATTATTTTTTTTCATACTTTTTTTTAATGTGAGGTTAATATATGCGCCAAATATGATTCTCCCACTGCTGCTGTGCTGTGATCACGCCAAAAGTGAGATGAGAAGAAAGAGGAGGGGAGAGAAGAGAGGGCTGAAAGCCATGCTGTGTGCTCTGGTGTGGTGTAGGTGGATAACTATCAACTCTTTGAATTAAGTTTTATGAAAAACAAAGGAGCAACTGTTCCTGTGGTTGTGGTGTCATATGTCCAGTCGCATTGTCTCTTTCCCAACTGACCAACTGACATCTGCAGCAAAAAAAAAAAGTTGAGTTTCACTTGAGCAGTCCAACCTGTGCTGCTGACCCCTGACGATGGCACTGTCAGTGTGCACACAGAGGCGGTCCACATGCTGTCGGCAGGGCTTTTTAACAGCACTGGCCAGGTGACATGAGGGACAGCAGGACCTTGACTGTGATGCAACCAGCATCAGCCCACAGCTGAGAAGTCTTTTAACATCAATAAATGTCAAATTCATATTCTGGACACATTTCCCTCCATGATTATGATGGATGCACAGGCGATACAGAGCCAGAGGTCTGTGCTGTCGTTTATAATCAGGTGGTTTTTGGAGCTGTTTCTGTTTGTGGACCTGCAGTCCCATGGGATCTCTAATCAGATCGCAGGCGGCTGTTAATTATCCAAACTGCATGTTTGTCAGAGAAACTGACATCATAAAAGCTCTTCTTCTCTGTTCATCACTTCTGTATTAAAGTTTTTTCAGCTCCATCGACAGAGCAGAAGGTAAAATTCAGTTGTGATTTGATTGATGGCTGTGTAATGCATATGTCCACAAACTCTTTAAAGTCAAGTATGAGCTTTAAGTTGCTTTAGTGTCCAGTTTTAATTCTTCATTTAACCAGGATATGACTGTGGCCTGATGAGACACTTCCATTGTTAATTTTTGCACTAAAGTCACAGTCTAAGTGTTCCCCAACTGCACCTCTGGTTTACTTTAAACCTCTGTCACAGCAGTGTGTCTAGTTTTGTTTTACTGAAGCAGTTGCCTGCTGGTTTACTGAAGCTAAAAAGCAGATTCACAAACCTTCTCAAAGTATTCTTAAAGCCAAAAGACTAAATCCAAAACACATACTTCTCAACATCACAAATTGTAGAAGGTCTAAACTTCTCTTACCTATTTATCCCTCTATTCTATTCTATCTATAATAACCATTAAACACACACATCCATATATTTATGTGTAGGTTTTGGGTTTGTGCAGGGTATGTAGAATGGTGCTGATGCAATGCTAGTATTCATTCTAATCAATGTATCATTGATATTTTAATGGTAACATTTAATGTGTAATATATTTAGACTATACCTTTTAGCCTCAGAATGGAAATATAGAAACGTAAATTGTCTATAACGGAGCTTACATTTCTTGCAGGACTCTACTTAAACCTAATTCTTACCCTAAATCTATATCTAGTAATATTTTTTTGCCCCCTGCTCCTCAGCGAATTTGTCCCTGCCTATCTTATTGTCTTATAATGACGACAGTTTCACGTGTGGAGTTTTTCTATTGTAATCTAATTTTAATAATTTATGGCAGCACATTTTCACATAAATCAGGTTTTGGAAGGACATAATACTCATATTATTGTTTTCTCTTCATGTAACCAAGGTAATGATCTTGATTTATAATATGAATTTATTTCCCCTTTTGGTGCTGCAGCATGTGTCATTACAACACGTCCTCTTGTTGTTCTCCCTAATGAGGTGTTACTGGAGGCATGGATGCATCCCTCTCTGTAAATAATACCTGCAGACAACCACACAGTCATCTGGATGATCAGAGTCCTGTTTGTGTGTGTGTGTGTGTGTGTGTGTTTGTGTAAAGGGGGTGGACAGCATGTGGTGGGAGGCCCCATCACATCTCAAAGCTCTGTGTCCTGTGTGTTATTATTTCAGCACAGAGAGAGGCGAGGTGGACCTGTGACAAGAATTGGCCTGACATCTATAGCACCTGAATGCTTCACAAAGCAGCAGACGGTGAAGTTATCTCCTCTCAGCAGACAGATGCATATTATTATCCATCAGAAATGTCACATGGTGAAGAAAAATAACAATCCAATAGCAAATTTTAAAGGGCCAAACGTACAGATGTAAATTTATGGTAATCACATTTTCTGTGTTTCAGCTTCATTTAATTTAGCTTTTCTAAACCTCAAATGATTGTGCTTTTATTCAGGTGTTTAAAAGGTGTTCATTGATCGACCTGAAAATTTCATGTTTATTGATTCAACTCTTTGTATCATTTGACAAAGACTCTGCTTTTACAATAGATGCTATTGAAAAAAATCTGAACAAAAAACCTAATGGAGCAGTAAAAGTACAGGATTGTAATTCAACTGAAAGGAAAGAGAGGCCTGCCTCAGAAAAAGATAAAATGTTTTATTTTCACTGAACAGAATTGTGTTTCTTACTAAAATATCTGTACAAGTTAAAATCTTACAGAAAGTCAGTTAATTGTAATTACCCATCATACTGTCAAGATCATTATGTTGTTATAGTTTTAAAGTGATGTACAGCCAGAAGAGAACCTCTTCCACCTAAACCAGAAATGTAAAGTGACATTCAGTAACAGTACCATTCACACTGTATAAAGCAGCTCCTCACTTTGTGTATGTATTAGTTTTACAGATGATAGGGCTTTGTCATAATGTACCGCACCACCAGGCTGAAGCTGATCATATTACTGGTTTTTATATTCAGAGCATGTTTGTATGGTGGATTGGTAGAAAGCTAAGCATTCCCTGTTTCCCTTCCAAGCATACCATGCTAGTATGATTAAGTTATTCATCACGTTACTTATTTCTCAACTTTTAGACATCAGGTTTGTTCAGTTGGCAGTTTATTGGCTGTTTGGGGGCATTTTATGAAGATTTTTACCTCACTATGAAAGTGTTCCTACAATGAATCATGTGATGAAGATGTGTCTTATATCAATAATACAATTCATAAAAACATTTTCAAACTTAAACTTAAAGGACATCCAGTCCTTTGCTTAAAATCTAGCAGAAACACACGTTGATTCTTACTTTGTGTCTGTTTGGTTGCTCGACTGATTAGATCTGAATAACACCTGAATGAGTACAGTCAGTTTCAATGAAATCCTTTGCTCTCCTTCAGCTTAAACTACATGATTTTTATTTTCACACTTTCGTATTTGTGTTGCTTCTCGGAAAATTTGACAAATAAAATGTTTCAGTTGGAACGATGTTGGGTACAGAAAGGCTGGAATATCTTGTAGTCCTCAATAAAAACAGCAACTGTGTCTGTCTCAATACCTTAACTATTCAGAACTACACTGAGAGTTGGAGGCAGGAAAGGCACAGAAAGAAGATATCAATTCAAAATAAATATAAAAATAATATATCAGCTAAGCTTTGCTTCAAGCTGTAATGTAATGAAAGAGAATCATGGCGAATAAAATGCAGAGACTTTAAGAGAAGACTGAGAAAATGGAAAGTTTTGCTTACCCACAGGTCATACAGTAGGAGCAAACAATCAAAACAACAAAAACCATGAAAACAACTGTAAATTTAATTAACTAGACTCACTCACTTAATTATGTCACAATTACATCTATTGTCAGACTTTATCCATGTCAGAAAATGTATTTAAATCACCCCAAACCCAACAAAGCTGTTGTAACTTTCATTCCAACAGTTCCATGAAAAATACAGTTCCTTGTTTAATCATTTCAAACATTTCAATAGGACAGAGAAAGGACTGGTTGATATAAAGTCATCATTGTAAGATTTACATCATTAAATATTTACAAGTCTTCTACTGAGAGTATTGACATATTATAAATTCAACACTTTCTTCTTGTGCATCTTTATACAGACTTTACAAAAATACAACCACAGAAGCAAAAACAAAACAAAACCAAAGAAAACAGAACATGAGTGAATAGTTCTGTTAGTGTCTTTCTTTCTTGTAGAGCCACTGCTCGGGCTCAGTCTGTAGTGTAAAGCACTGAGGCTTGACAAGGCATCTCTGTCTGTCCATCTCCTCAGCTCCAACACTCCCGGGTTAGCAGGAGATCAAACCTCCGCCTAAATAAAATACTCTTTCTGGTTTTCGCTCGGACCGTTCTGTGAGCCACTGAAGGCCAGCTCCGGGTTGTCTTCAGGTTTTACTGTTTTTAGTTCCTGGCTCTGGCACGTCCCTTTCCTCCTGTAGAAGATTCGGGCCATTATGGCTGACGCAGACACGGTCACAAAGATCACCACTGCTATCACACCTGCAAGGAAGAGAAATTGCAAAAGTTACAGCGGTTCAGCATTGGGAATGTGGACCTTCTTTACTCACACTTTAGACCTATGTTAGGGACATTAAAGAGCGAGGACGAGCCAGTAAAACAAAGCAAACATCATGACTCAAATTTATTACTGCAAAACATATACAAAATTGCCTAAAATAGATACATTACAAACACAAAACTGACTGCAAGGATGTACCCCTTTACGTCAATATTTAGTGGAGGCATCCTGTGTAGGTCTGTGTGGATTGATCTGTATCAGCTTTACACATCAGTAAGTTTTTCCCAATTCTTCTTTGCAAAACTGCTCAAGGTCTGGCAGCTTTCCTGAGTACTGTGAGTGAACAGCAATTCTAAAGTCCTGTCAATTCTGGATTGGATTGAGATATTGTTTTGGCTGTTGTTTGTTTAGGGATTGTTGTTTTCTCACACAGACCGCAACAGGTTTTCCTGAAGGATTTCTCTGTATGTTGCTGCATTCATTTTATCATCACTTCTATAACCGCTTATCCTTTTACAGGATTGCAGGGTGCTGATCCCCAGCTGACATTTGGCGAGAGGCGAGGTACACCCTGGATAGGTCACCAGTTCATCAGGGCTGACACACCGAGGCAAACAACCATTCACACTCACACCTATGGGCAATTTAGCCAACAATTAACCTGCATGCTTTTGGATTGTGGGAGGAAGCCAGAGCACCTGGAGGAAACTCATGCTTACACAGGGACTACAGAAAGGTCCCAGGGGGCAGGTTCAAACCTGGAATCTTCTTGCTGTAATGCGACAGTGCTAACCACTGCACCACCAAGTGTTCATTTCACCCACTGAATACATTTCAACTGGAAATTCACATGACTTCATGGAGTAAAATGTTGAGATTCCTGGTTATCCTGAACTGTATGACTTCACTAGAAAATCAGGCTGGTAGAAAATCAGTGTAACAATTGCATGCTCCGTTTTCAAACAAAAGCAAATTGGAGATGAAACATTACATAACAAAACTCCTCAAAAGCAATTGGTCAGTGGCCCAACAGGCAAAACAGAAAACATTAGATTGCTTTTGCTCTATCATTAGCGGTTGCAGTCAGCTCATTTTCTCCAGGCTCCCCAGGCAATTTCAGCTATTAAAAGGTCTCGGCACTGATGTTAATAATAAATAAATAAAAAATAAATAAATAAAAAAATTGTATGGTTGTTTTACTTGGAATATAAAGTCATTTGTATTGTGTTTCCTTTGTGTGCTCAGACAAAGTCATGCTGTTTGAGGGACAACTCAGGGCTTTCAGTTAAACAGCTAAACAGCATGCTAATTTATGATAATGCTCCTGCCTGACAACCATGTTTAAAAACAAAGTAAAGGTCTACACAAATCGAAAAAACTAAAATATGCGCATTGAAATTTGTAATATTTATTGGTATAAAAGGACCTGGTAGGAGCACAGGTTTCAAACTGTATCGTAACTGATACTGATTCATGATAATGGCAGAGTGACAGTGAAAAACATTGCTGCTACAGTACCTCCAATTAGAGCTGAGTCACTCCTGATGGCATTCACTAAAGGTTGACCTGTTTCCACTGATCCAGACTGACCTGCAGCACAGAGAGACCGAATAAACAGAAAGCAGAGAAAGAGACGCAGAAGTGAAGGGAGGAATGAAAGAGAAGAGAGAACAGATGCAGAGGAAGGATCACAGGGGAATAAAAAGAGTGACGAGAAAGAAAACGAAGAGATGAAAGTAAACAGAGAGGAGCAAGGAGGTCATTCATTACATGAAAAAAAAAGAATTTGAGAAACGTACTGCAGAGGGATGCACAGAGAAGGCAAACAGGAATCATATATAGGCCTACCATCAGTGCAGATAAAGCTTATTGGATACTAAAGAACATCTTCACACAATTCTCTGTATGAGTGACCACAGGGGAAAGATATGGAAACTCTTTTCCCTGGTATGAACTAATTGCCTCATCTAGGGGCTATTAATCCAGTGCCATTACATTATTAGAGATCCAAAGTTCCTATTGTAAAGTCCACCTATGATAACTTTAATAGTGTTTATTAATTTGAGCCCCTTGAGAAAGAGGGTGCTGTGATTGTAGGCATACACCTTCAATATGGGGCTCTAATGTCTGTGAGGACACCCATAAGGTTTTGAAGAAACATTGTGAGTTCAGGTTTGCTACTTTCTGGCCACTATCTTCTCACTTATTAAATCGGAAAATACTATTTTTTTTCAAAAAGCTGCACCAGCCTCAGCTAAGAGAGATCTCCGTCCAGGAAACATGCCTCCAAGAACACCCCTTCTTAAACTACAAATCTGTTTTATTATGCAGTTTATGATTTTATTAAATTATTGTTCTCCAAAGGATCAGCTTTAGATTGATTTCCAATCTATTGTTATCCATGATTTCCATGTTTATTATTCCTTCATCCATTCCTTAGTTTTTTTTGTGTGTGTAAGGTATGTCACAGCTTTTTTATACTTGATAGCCTGCACTCAAAAAGTGAGTTTGGATAGTTTTCCACAAGACACACATTAAAAGACAGATTTCCTGTTGTAAAAAAAAGAAAAAGAACTTCTTGAGAGAATGCTGAGTCAATATTAAATTATCCTCACCCTGTGTGTAAGTCAAAATAAACTATGATGCTGCTGCAGCTATTGTATGGTCATATCCCCATTGTCTGGGCATATCTGAGCAAACAGAGTCCAAGTCTTAAGCCTCTGGGTCTACGTTTCCTATAGCAGCAACTGACGGATATTTGAGAGCAGAAGCACTTACAACTTCCTACAACTTTTTCTTCTTAACAAGCAAACATAGCATTGGTTATGTACCATTCAAGAAGAGCATTCAACATTCTGGAGGTCAAACTGTACAGTTAAGATTGTATTCCACTCAGAAAGTGTAAAAAGTCAGCTGCTAACTTAACTGCTAAAGTACATGAGCTATTCTTCTGCTGTTTTGAGCAGTTCCCAAACAGCTTCAGGGGAATTACCACTACTCTCCAGGTTTTCCCTAATTTGCATTTAGCTTAGGAAAACAAAGAAGATGCAGATACGTGGCCAAATATCAATGACAGCGTAATAAATCGGATCTGTAGCCTATATAAGACACTTGAAATGACAAGTGTAAATTTTGCCTAAGGTGGTTGTCTAGTGATACCAGTGCCAACCAATTGTTTTGGGATTTGTAAATGCAAAGTGGTTGTTTAGATGGTGGCGAGAACGGCTACTAACAAACATATGCCCCTTACTTCAAGGACACGCCTTGATTGAAACAATGTTCTCCCCCCATTCTCCTCTGTAGTGGAACAAACTAGAGATATAGTGAAGCCCTTTGTAACAAAGAGAGAGCTTTTTAATGTGTTGAAAATGGACTTCCAGCGAGGTCACCACCATAAACACTGTTTCTGGAATGCAGGTTTTTTTAAACTCTTTAATTGTATTCAACCAGTTTTAGCAATCAAAGTCCACAGTCTCATGAGTGTTTAGAGATTGGGTCATGAGTCTACTAAGGTGCTATCAATACCAGTAAAGGAAACGAAAGTAGTTTCTTCTGACCTGATAGGTGGTGTGTGGTTTCTGCTGCGTAGGGATTGGCTGAAGTGGAGCCACAAATGGACTGGACCAGTGGGCCGGTAACAGTGATAGGACTGGTGCCTGGGTGGAGCAGAGCAGCTTTCAGAGGACTGATGGAGTTAAAGAGAACAGCAGACAGACATCCCGTAAAACCCAGAGTGGCAAGCCGAGACAACTCCGGGTCTAACTCCCCAGAGTCTGGAAAGAAAGAGAGAGACACAGGATAATTTAGTTTAGTTTATTAGTATTTTTAAAAATCTTTGGATTCACACAGAACATTCACACAGACCATACCTAGATATAACATTTATCGCATGAAACATTTTGTACTCGTTTGACTTACAACCCATTTATCAATGACTTAATCAAACTATGCTTATAAAGATAGGGATCACTTTTTATAGTGGGTTTGCAGTGGCAGTGCTACACCTGGGTCTGGGAAGTCCCACAGCCTCTCATCGTATTAACAAGCTATTTCTTAGTCTGTCTCTGAAGGCGCCGCTCAAAAAGAACATAACTAGGTCATGACAAAGTAAATTACAGTGGTGCTATGTCTCTGTTAGCTGTCTTATCTGTTTAACAGACACATCAGGTAGAAAGAAAACAAGAGCAGAGTTATTTTGATGAAATGGTCTTTCATGCTGAGAAAGGTTAAACTGTTCAGGCCCACTCCCTGGTCTAGTTGGATTTCATTTAATCCAGTCGCCAAATCATCAGTATCTGCTTTTTACTCCTCCAAACAGTCTTCAAACTGTTTTTTGGAGCAACCTGATGTGTATTTTTGTCCGTGTCTTAGCAGGGAGAATCAAAAGGCAAAAGCTTTATTGTCCAACTGTTCAGCAATACAGCTTTCTAGAACAAATAATACTGCAATGTTCCCAGCCAACCTAGAGGTACCAGATTGGACAAAGAAGATGCAATATGTATGAGGTGAAAGAGTCATTGCATTGTCGAAGCACCCATAACCTTGCAAGAGAACAAGGTGTTATGGCTTTCATATGTCTAGCTGTATGAGTGCCCTGTCTGGAAAGTTTGAAAAGTTGTTGAGCATACACTACAGCACATAATGAGCACTGGCCTTAAAATTGCTCTGTGGTCGGCACAAGTGGCATTATGATGGCATATCCAGAGCAATGTTGTGGCAATACATTGTGGCAATAAAGAAAGTCTGTTATCTCTACTTGTAACAAGAGCACTTTCATTATGTACTATATGAAATCCTGCATTAGCTGCAAGAAGTTCTGTTTGTGAAATGTTGTTTGAAGGCCACAAAGCTGCAGATAGATAGACAGCATTCAAGTTCATGGTAAAGAGGCATAATAATTACCTTAATTGCTGTTATTTGGCTGTTTGTTTATATCCAGATCATTCATTCACGTTATGTAAGGTAGACAATAAAAAATACATATTCATAAAAGGCATTCCTTTGAAGTTTAAAAAGGAATCAACAGTATCCAATGCGTTTAGTTAAAAGCAGTGAAACAGGTCAAGTCACAACATTACATGTATAATAATAATTTGTACAGTGTTACCTTAAAAATAAAGGGGAAGGGAATTTGGAAAATAAGGAGGATGGATTTCATAATTATAATATGGTGATTACCAATTTTGAATTCGAAGAATTTTCATGTGATCTTGAAGGTATTACGCTGATAGTAGCCTACAACATTGTGAAAAGATCAACCTATATTACCCCATTCTTATCAGTTTATTATCCATTAATATCACCATATTACCATTTTAATTTAAATATTTCAGAGATATAACAATTGTATTGTTAGCAGGTTACCATATTGTTACCAAGATATAACTATATTACTAAATAGTATTGCTCCATTATTTTGGCCCTAATTACCCTGTTACATGAATTTCAGTCTAATATTACCCAGATTTAATATTACCCATGGTTAATACAAAGCTGTTAGCTGGTTATTAGTTTTATTATTAAACTAGACCCCACGTTTACCTTGCTGTTACCGAGCAGTAATGTAACATGCTACCAAACAGTTGACAATAACCAACACAGCAGAGCACAACCAAGCAGAGAAATGCCTATTTGAAAAATAAATATACTCGGCCTAATTCTAGCAGTCTTTAAATATGTCACCCCAAGTAGTTTGAGTGCACTCTGCCAAGAACAAGAGACCTAAATAATGTCCCATCTTGGTGCTGAGTGCCAGACATGTATATTTTTTACTTTGTTTGTTCTTTGCCTGCTTAATCCTCTGGACAACAACTGTTAAGAGGATACAACCATCATGATGAAAGTTTCCAAAACCTCATTGTCATAAAGCAGAACATCTTTGAAATTAGTGTGTCTGAGTGCTCTGCAGTCTGAAAAGGTCTTGTCTGGGTCCATCTCACTTACTATGCACTCGGCCAAGGACCAGCGACCTGATGGCATTGAATTCTACATCAGATGTCAGGTTGAAGTCCTCTTTGGTGTTCTGGTCAACCTAAAAGAGAATGAAAGATTCCACTTCAAAAGTACCTTGACATCAACGGAAAGTAAATACTTCAAAGCATACATAGCTTTAGTTTTTGTGATATCTTCATTATTGCACAACTTGGTACATGTTTATCTGAGACTGAAAAACCAAGCATACAACATGTTTGTGTTGTAGAATTTTTAATCTAAGGACCTGAAATTAATGAATTACTGAATGAGACTTGTTGACCTCATCAGCAGTTTCAGCCAGTGTCACACAACAGTGAGTGGAGTGACTGTAGTAATTATGATAAGAAGTCAATCCTCTCAGTCACCTTTGGTAATGGTCACTTAGTACTTATTTAACCCAAACCATCATGTCAACATGTCTTGTCATTTGATTTTGAGAAGTTGTTGGAATAAGTTAGCTGTTACTCTGCCCTGAGCTGTGATATTTGAATTCAAAGAAAACAGTGAAGGATCCATCTGTGATAATTAGTGCGTGGGAACACAGTTGAAGTTACACTTGTGTATCATCAGTATAGTATAATATAATAATATATAATCAGTATAATATAGTATAGCAAGTGCAACATCATCATCAAGCAAAGATTATGTATTTTAGTCATGTGACCCGAGGTTAATGTATTAAACAGGACCTGCAAACCTGACCCAAAGCTAGCAGAATGCGTGAGAAAAACCCCTGAGAGGTGTTCCCAAGCTGCCACCAACGTGTTTCAATGCAGCTAAGACATTATTATCTGTGAGCGTTTCCTGCAGCTCGTCCCTGCTGTCTTCTTCTAGTTTCTCCTACTGGTCCTTGATATGGACTGACAGAGAGGATGCTGAGCAAGGGAGACTCAGGATTTAGTGCTAACTGAGAGGAATATTTCAGACTGTTGTGTATGCGTTACCTGCACAGAGACAGCATCTGCCAGTCTGCTGATGGTAACAGCATGCAGCTGTCCGTTGGCGAGGTTCCTCACTTTGCTCCTCAGGATCTCGGCATCTTTACTGCCGTCTAGTCTGTATCTCACCTCCAGCTTGTCTGCACAGACACAAAACAAAAAACAAAACCCACATGGGGATCTTACTGTGTGACTCAGACACAGAATAAGACAGGACTTCACAATGAACAAATAAAGCTTTTGAATTAAATCTGTCTAACACAAAGGCCTTTTATCATTTAAGAAAATCCTGTTGCCCAAAAGAAACAATGTTTCTGTGATACGTAATAAATAATATAGATATTACATAATGTTATTCATTGGCTTTATGGCACACAGCAGTATTAATTAATTATTAACAAATGATGAACCAAATATAATTAGCCATTTATGGTTCCTAATTTATACAATGCATTTCAATGTTTAAGATTTTAACTTCTAAAATTATGAAACATTTCAGATTTAAATTGCTAAAAGCCATCCAATTACAGAACCGGTAAAGTTTTCTTCAGATATTTGCTTGGCTAAATCTGTCGTCGCACCCATCGTCTATTTCAATAAAAATGTATTTTAGTATTAATATGTATTAAGAGAGCTGGATGTTCCAGGGCAACAGCAGCTGAATAACAAGCTGAAAAGAATTCCATATTTAGAAAATTAGGGCCAATTACTGCCAATAATGGTATACAGAATCAAGTTAATTTATATGATTTTCCCTTCATTTAAGGCTTCATCTGCAGGCTGTGTGGATGATTAAAAGGTTTAAAAGCGTATTTTTCATTTTACAGTGCAAATGCATATAGTGCATATTAAAGCAATTTGACTCATTTCACATGAGCATATCTTGGATAATAATTTTGAATGCATGTAATCCTGGTGAGGCCACGGTGTAATATGACTAGAATCTAAGACTTTACAGGAGAGGCAGAAAGAGAGAGAAAGAGTGAGAGCAGAAGTGCGGAATAAAAAAAGAAGAAAGTTTTCCCAAGTTCTTGAATCATGCATTATTCATTCATTCTTCAGCACTGCTAATTATTTTTAACACTTAACGCTTGCCTCTTGTACCACACTTATTAGAGGAGAAGCGACGTAGAAAAGCGAGAAGCAGTCTTGCAGTGTGTTCACACTGTAATGACCACGATTAACAAGTCACAGGACGTGACCACAGCGCTGACAGCTGACATAGAGACTGTCAGCAAGCTTGTAGGTGGTGAAAAGCTGGTGATGGCTGAACTTTTCACCTTTCAACATCTGAAATTCACGTCATTGTTTTTCAAATGAAGCATTTTAGCTACAAGAATGGGAGTTAGATCTGGTGAGTCTAAAGCATAGGACAATGTGTTTATAGAAATTCAGGTTCACAGTTGGTTCTCTGTTGTGCTTTCAAGTTACAATATATATAATGATGATCAAAATAATTTAAAGGGCATCATTTTTCACTTAACAGTGTGTAATTTGAGAACCTGAGATCATCACAGTAATAAATTACATTATATAAAGCCAAGCTGGTCCCTTGCCACTAGGGATTCTCAAGACATTCCTAATTGCTAGTCCCAAGTCAAATAGGGAGGCTTGCGGGGGGGGGGATTGAAAACAGATGATCCACTGTGGTGACCCCTACAGGAAGCAGCCGAAAAAGACAAAAAAACAAAAGTAACAACAAACAAACAAAAAACCCCAAACACATTAAACTGTTTCAATTGACGCACATTGTTTTGCAGAACACAGAACAGCATAGTATGACCTCAATTTAATTCATAGATTACGAACTGGTTTCTATATACGTTTTAATTGTTGCACTTTTTAACAGTTTAAGCATAAAATAAAATACACCTGTCAATTGAACTTACTGCTACTGAAACATAACAGTTTATTATTGAGACAGATTGATTACAATTTAATGTCATTAACAGATCCTCTGGATCTCTTATATTAGGTGTGCTCAGTGATGCAGTAGTAGAGAAACAAGATGAAGTAGAGACATTGATTACCTTGTTTTCCAAATAAAAACGGAAATGCGCATCTTCAGGAATGATAGTTTACAGTCTATTATTAGACAGATTAGTAGACAGTGGAGTTTATCTGTAATTTGAGAATTAGTATGCTACGTTTTTATGTTCTGCCTGTTCAGAAGTGGTTCTAAATATACACACAAAAGAAATGTACCTATGCCAAAATGAATGTTTGTTTAATAGTTTAAGACAAATGAGGTCCTTGAAATTTGAGTCAGCTACTAAAAACAACCTCTGATCCTACTTTTTAATAAAAGAAACAGTGTAATAAAAAGGATATATTTAATGATATCCATTCATATTGTGGATTTATATGGCTTTTGTAGCTTCTGACTAGATTGGTTTCAGCTTTGCAGTCTGATGTAAAAGGAAGGCACTAACAAGCAGAATATCAAAAACTGTGCTCACAGCTGCATTACAACACAACAATAATGTAACTTCAACAAAAGGATAAGAGGGACAAGAAGTTATCGTTCTTCAGACCTATCCTTTACAGTTATGAAAGAAAATATAAACCAGTAAAAAGTACACACCTTGGCCATTTGAAACATTAAGGTGACACTTCTACACAGGTGCAGTCACAGGTTCTTTTATTGCTAACAGCAGAGCACAACATCAACCGAGCTGCTGACAGTGTTATTACAAAATTGTATCACCAGAACGAACCTGTTCCTAAGTTTTGATGGGGTGCTTCAGTTTTAATGTAGCTCTCTGGCGACTACCTGATTATCCTGGTAACTCTAATGACCTGCTGGTCATCATCTACCTCCAGTCTGGCTTATTAAAGCAGCATGTTCACAGACTATTCACAGGAAGGTGGAATCCTGCATGTAAAAGGTTTATCAGCCTTCTTTGTCCTTTCCAATTCAAATGACCCCTCTTGCTGCTCTTCTGGCAGTACTACCGACAAGTTGATTAAACAGAGAAGTGAATGGCAGCAGAGGAAAGGTGGACCAGAGAAAAAGAGTCACAAAAAGGGCAGAAAGAGAACAGAGGAGTTGCAGGAGAAGAGGAGAGGGATGGCAGGAAGTTTACTCTAGCAGTAGAGGAGGTACTTATGGAGTATTCAAATAGCCACAATGTCTTGACTCTGGGCACATAACAGTGCCTTCAGTGTATTGTTGATCAACAGGGATATATTGTCATTGCTGATTCATAATCAGGTCTCAGCAACAAGGATTGCTGCTTGTTGGTGGTGAAAGTCCACTTTGGGCAAAAGGGGCACTCACAAGAAAGTGCCGTTGGGTAAAGAAAAAGTTTATGGGCTCAAGAGCAAGTATAATAGAAAACATCAGTCCTTTCATGTGGCATTAGTCTCTTTACGTTAGCACAATTTGTTACATGCATTGCTATTTTTTGAGTTATTGTAAATTTATTATCCTAAAGTTAAGAGGCTTTACATTACCCCTTTCTGCCAAGCATCACAACTACGCAACACAGATCAAAACAAATTGGAAAGTTTTCATACGTCACCATATTCTTCTTTCATGCTGATTCAAAGGATCTATAGAGCCATGAACACATAAATTGTGGAAACTAAAACCCTAATTGTGAGATAACCATGCACCGTCAATGCTGATGCCATACTGGAACATACAGGGCCATCCAGTGAAATCCAGCAAAGCAGACAAGAGCAAAAATAACAAAGCAAGTTCCAAAAGCTATGGAGCTTGTTTACAGGGTAAAATAGAGAAAGAAACAAAAGCCTCCTTCAGTCAGTGGACAGACAGAGAAGATTACCCTCATGATGATGATAAAGGTCAAGCCAAATGATCAGACACGACAGAGTACTCACCATGCTTGTTGAGCAGCAGAGCCAGGTACTCTCTGTGGTAGGAGTCGACGTAGAGGAGCAGAGCGGGACTCTGGTTCGTCCTGAAGCTCAGGGAGACGTTCTCTCCTCTCAGAGTCATGTCAGAGTAGATGGAGGACGGCAGGGCGCTGCTGCTTCTGTTCAGCTTGTTCGACAGCGGCTCCTTGAGGGTGTAGCTGACTGAAGTTCCCGACTTGAAGCTGGCTGAAACCTCTGCAGGGAGCGAGATAATGTCCAAAAGTTTAATTATAAAGTTGTTTAATTTGTGGCTGTATGGTAAGCAGTTATGTTGTATGTGTGGGATGTGCATTTCTGAATTTTTATGAGTTTAACACAAGTGAAAGTTTGGTTTACAGTTTGCTTGGTAATAAGGCTGCCCTTTGAATTTATTTAGTGCATACATGAACTTAGCAATTCACTTCGCCACATCAACATTGACAGCATGACAGCATGATTTGCATTTAAATTTTAATAAGTAGTATATACTGTATGTCTTCATACTGCATCTAAGTAACTAATCTTGCATCTTATCACTGATTCATATACAGTGTACATGCCTCAGCAGCATTGAACAGCTAATTAGTGAGCTCAAGAAGAAAAGCCTCAGAAAACCTGCTGACAGGTGAAAAGAACAATACAAAATTTATCTGCTAATTATAACACGGGCGTGTATAGAGCTGTGATTTCCGTTGCAGCTATACCTGTGGAGCTTCAACAGACAACACAGCTGGGCTTGTTAATTATTGAACGCGTATGAGGCTGTGTTTCTTTGCTGACATGATGACTCAGTGTTCCTGAGATAAATAGGTTTAAGTAAGTCTAAGTGTGCAGTCTTAAAACACCTTTATGCGATGCATTAGCAACAACGATCTGCGAGGATGTCTCAATCAGGATGACCAACCAGTTAATTAACACACAATAAGACAAGAAACATTGTTAATACTTCATTTAGTCCAATGAGTTATTTATTAGTCAAAAGTCTGCAGGTGGCTCTTGCTTTTTATTTTAGTATCATATAATTTATTGTATTTATTGTTATGTATTGTGATCAGGAAATCCTTGGAAAAGAAATAGAATGCTTTATTGCAGTATATTAACTCAAGTGTTCGCCATTAGTATAGGGAATCATTTTAAAATAAATGTACAGACTAATATTTTGTAATTACAATATGAATTAGAAAAGATGTGAAAAATTTTGGCATGCTGATATTGTAAGAAAGAAAGGTCAAAACAAGATTAATGATCAGCCAACCCCAGACTTTATAATTGGCCTCAAGATATACTATATATGAAGTTTCCCACAGGATCAAGATGATTAGCAGCTGTGTATGTGATGTATTGTGTACACAGTGGTGCAGTGTGCACCGAATGACTGTGGGGCTCATATATATATATATATATATAGTATAGGTGTGTATAAATGTGTGTGTGTGTGTGACCTCTTTAATGTGTATGGTCCTTCCTTGTATCTCTAAGAGTGTGTGTGTGTTTTATTTATAGAGTTTCAGGTGCTGCACTGTAGCATGTTTTTAGACAGCCATGTTGGAGGTCTGAGGACTGAGTCTTCATGGTTCAGTGCTGCATTTAACTAGGAACTGATTATTTAACCCCTGATGCTTCCATCTCTTAAGCTGTCCTCTCTAATAAATCTCTAATTTGCCCCCCAAAATACATAAAATAAGCTTAAACTAAACCTTACTGACCCTCCTCCACCTGTCAGTACAAACCCATGGGCTGTGTTGATCTGGTGGTGATGCCCAAGTCCAGAAATGATTAATCTTCTGTTGATGATGGTGATGTATATTAAATTAGGAAAAGTTATATTACTTAGTGATGTTCACAATATTCAATGCTCATAATACCATTATAGACCATGTGGGGTTATTTTGGACACTCAAATGACTGAAATGACTAAATGTTCATGCCAATAGCAGTTTGTTTCTATGTTGTTTTGTTATATGTTTTTATACTTGCTAAAAATTGTCTACTTGGGACAAATAATAAATCAGTTGAATTGAAACATGGTTCAAACCCACAGAACTTTATTTTGAATTCGTGTGAAGAACCTGAAGTTTCCAAAGATATCAATATGTCTTTCGGGGAAATATATAAAATGATGCACAGCTGAAGAGTTGGAAGAGTTGATACAGTGTATATATGATACTGTCAGACAGGGTGGAACAAGATGTTTTTTCTAACTTTAAATAGTTTGTCCTACTTTTGATATTAAGGGATCAAACATTGGTACCTTGAATTTCGTTATGATAGGGTCCCAAAATTCCCAAAATTTCCCAGCAGCTCACTGCTCAAGGTTTGAAACTATTACAGATTTGGAGATTTAGGTGCATAATACAAATCTAACTGGAGCTAGGGTAAATTATTGCTTTTGGATAACTAACTAACAAAGCTAAAAATGGTTGAGTTCACTGAGCTCTCACATTTCAACATGTAGCTTTCCATTAGACCTTCCAAGGAGCTGAAGACTAATCTGCTTTATCAGAACCTGAATCTTTTGAGGTTAACTGTTTCTTTAGTTGTATTGTTAGTCATTAAGTCATTATATGCACATACATGTAGCTTATTCTGGAGTGTGTCTACATGATGGCACCAGGTGTTGCTGGGAGATTGGTGGCATAGCCTGTGTACCTCTGTCGCAAAAGGCTCCGGTGTAGGCAGACGGACCGCAGTCGCAGGAAAAGCTGTTGGGTCTCTCCACACAGCGACCCTTGTTCTGGCAGAGAGAGCCATAGCTGCTGCAGTGGCCTGGACATCCCGCTTGAACCCCGGGGGTAATCTTCGCTCTCTCCTCCAGGTCCAGGGTGACGCCATTCAGCTGCAGAGAGCGAATACAGCCCCGGAAGCCCTTCTGTCTGGACGCTGTGCCTCCTGAAGGCACACACAAGGGATCAACTTCAGCATGCTGGAAGACATCTTCTCTGCTCTCCTTTTCTTTTTCTTTTCATTTCTACAGTATGTCTGTATAAGCTATATATAAGCTATACATATAATCTCTATGCCATTTCCACTACCTAGTTAATAATTTAGTCTATTAACAATGCACTTCACAGAAGTCCAAAGGTAAGGGGATATATTAAAGTAGCTTGTTTTGTCCAACCAACTGTTCGAAAAACAATGATAATGATATAAAACACAGAAAGAGGTAATTCCTCACATAAATATGACTTAAATATAAATATTATTGTCATGATTTTTTGTTTGGTTTGCTTGTTTCCTGTTTTGTATTTTTCCTTGTGTCTTACTTTGCTTCACTTTCTGTCTTTGTCTGTTTTCCTACAGTTTTGATTGTTTTGTGTATTTTGTCCTTTTCTTTGTTTTCTTTCTGCCTGCTTCTTCGTGTTTCCTCCTTGTTGGACTTGCTCAGTTTTTTGGACTTTCTTCTTGATTTATTGGATTTTGCCTGCATATTTTGCTTTGAATGATTTGGACTGCTCTCTCATGGATTTGTCAATTTATGTTTCATCACCTTTTTGCAAATAAACCATCTGAACTCAGCCTTTAGGTTCCATTCCTCATGTTCAGTAACTCGGCTTTCACAAGTGTGTCAATTATATTACTGTTTCAGATGAATTTAACTCTTGATATACTAATTGATTACTTGCTGATCGCGTTAGCAGTACACATATTGTGCTGCTCATGCACAAAAGTGCAGATTTCGAACGCTGATGCTTCGAGTGCCAATATTTTGTTAAATAGGGCCATTTACTATCTACTGTAACTGTGACAATTCATGGACATTTTACTTTATGTTCCTCCCAGAATCTAATGGAGGAGTGGGTGGAATGAGTTTAAAACATTTAAATTTTTGGACAATATAATTGTGAAACCCACACCAATGTTCTTTTTAGGCAGGAGAAACATTATAGCAGCTCATTATAGTACCACCTGTGTTTTTACATTTTAGCTTTTTATATTACTGCAGACCAGTAAATCAAAGCATAGTGTAGGGTTTCACGCTTTTTAATGTATTTTTCCTACTGTACCTTTTTCCCTCTGTGCCTCATAAATGGTAACTTTATCAAAATAGAGATACAGAGAGAAACTAAGAGGTGAAATCATATCATGTCTCTGATCAAATTGGAGACTGACTGACTGATACCTGATTTTAATATTAACAGCTGAACATACTCTGAACCTGCAGAAAATTGGTCACAACCCTCTTACTGAATTTATAAAATGATGGGGTGATGAAACACAGTGAAACACAAACTGGCAGGTGAAAAATTCAAAGAGTTGACTTTTTACTGGCTGTGTGCCAGCCGAGCACCATGAGTATTGTTGATATCGGGGAAGTTGGCAACCTGTCGATCTATGTGACAGCCTGCTTGTCCTGCCTGGTTGACTGAATGTGACAGGATAAAATTTTCTTTCCTCTTTCTAGGACAGAATTGAAACCCTGAAAGTTATTGTTTTTTCGACTTCTTGCATTACCACCTCCAACTGTCCTCAGAGTTCAGGCTCTGCAACATTATAATTGTCTCAGAGTGCCAAACTGGCAACCTCAAGACTGTTATGATGAGATAAACAGCTTTCCAGGACTGCAGAGTTGATGAGGTTTATATCAGGGCCCGGAGTTTCATCAGAAGCTGTCAGGAAAGGACTACCTTAACTAATGGGTTCAAACACTGTACCAAGGTTACCGCAAGGAAAATGACCACTACAAACGCAACTTTCCACTGCATCGTCCAGGGGATATTTCTATCAATTTCTGAGGATTTTTCGGATGTTCTATAAGGTGTATATAAAGGAACTGTGTCCATAAACTCAGCCTGTATACCTTACATTGTTAAGGTTTAGAAACAAAGATCGTTATAGGCTGATTGATCGCTTTAAGCTGTCAGTTTCAATGTGGATCAATAACTAGACAGCAACGCAATATGTTCCCTGTACTGGATGGGAAGCAGAGCTTTAGTGCAGGGTTTTGCTGAAGGGCTTAGTCTCTGTCACTATCTGCTTTTTTCAGGAGGAGCGGAGGAAACGAAGATGTAAAACCACCAGCCTCCCTGGGGTCAAAGAAAACGTACAGTACCGTAATTTGTTTTTTTGGTGTGTGTGTGTGGTATGTGGGAGAAAGAGAAGGATACAGAGTAAGTAAAAGGGGAAAGGAAGCCAGAAAGCAGAGCATATTGATATGATTCAAGAGTTCCTCAGGCATACAAAGAAAAGCCACTAACACTCTACATTAATGTGAGATACCACATAGTTCTCACAGCAGAAAGGTTCGCAAAAATGTGTCTTCCCAACAGAAATCGTATGGTGTGAATCTTGTATTGTTTTTTTAATCTTTGCTGAGCTCTTTAAAAGGCAGCTTTGTATTGTAATTTGTGCAGCAGCCCTGTCTCTCTCTC